GAGTAATATCTGGGGGGCCCCTGATCTCAAGGTGTTTGTAATTCTGAGGAAGACAAAGGGGTAACATAACCCTCTTGAGGCCTGCCAAGGAGGAAGCAGCTCTGAAAGTAATATCTAAAACACAACCGCAGAGCAAGGGAGGTGGAGAACTAAAAAGTAATGGAGCAGTATCCAGGCCTTAAATTGGGGAAGAGGAGAAGGGAAAGGGGTGATGTTTGGAAACAAGGGTGCAAGGAACTAAGAGGAAGGAAAGAGATTTGTGATTATATAATGGAAGTGAGAGTTTAAAAAATGGAGGGAAATTGTGGGCCGGGAGAATTAACCTTGGAGTAAGTCTTGGAGTATCTGAAGCTAGAACCTTGCCGGCACGTCTACCTGAGACTCTATGTCGTCATAGCAATGAGCTACATCACCATAGCTCATTGCTACGGGAACATAGATAGCATCAGTGGGTATGAACCGTGATGCCGACACTACTGCATGGTAGCATTGTAAAAGACCTGTGCAGAGTTGGGACTGTACACTAATGTTGGCTACTGCTTGCTTAAGCAAGTGCTAAATGACTGGGCAGTAACAACTGCATAGTCCAGCGCACATGTAGATGCATCCTGTTTGGAGGAAATAGATATTGGGCCATGGGAAATGGAATCTCAATGGACGGGATGAGAAAACGTTGGGATGAAGGAGGATAGAATTAGGGTCCATGAGTCATTCCTCGGCGGAGCAGTGAAGAAAGAGGAAGTTTGCTTGGGAGTTTGTGGCAGAAGAGAACCAGGGAGCCTGAGGCTGTGTGTGTGTGTGTGTGTGTGTGTACATCTGCATTTGCATGTGTGTGTGTTTGCACACACATGCAGGTGTCTCAGTTTTGGTTTGGTTTGGTCCCCCGGCCCCCTTCTTTTCCTTTCTTTGTTCAGTTTTCTAACGAACCTATCTGTGCTTTCACCACTGAATATTTATTTGAGTTATTCTTTCTACATTGCACCCGAGCTCTGGGAGGCTGCTTGCAGGCAGCTGCCTCTTGGTGTTCAGGCTGCTTGGGTCAGTGTGCTCTCAGAGTGAGAGGAGGATGGCTAGGAACCCACCCAACCCCCGAGCATGCCAGAACAACAACCAGATCCCAAGATGCTGATAGGCTAGTACAACAATTAAAAATGATTATTCCACAGAGGTAAATTGATAGTTGCTAATTTACAGTGGACAGGAATCTAGCTGATAGATTTTTAAAGGTCAGAAGTTTCAATCAACACAACCCATCCTGCAATAATATACCAGTCAGAAAAACTTACCCAATGATTGATTCCTGAAATAAGCTCAACTGCATATTTATACAACATTTATTTGTGTATCTCAAGTGAAAACTTGGTACAATTATGATCCTGTTGCTACTGTACATGTGTAACTACATTTCTGTGGTGCTTATTTGCATACCACCATTAGTGTGCAAGGTCAGATTACAGGGAACTTTTTCTCTTATCTGCATATCATTTAGTTGTATATATGGGCAAGGGATAAAAAAAACTCCTTTGTGCTTGTTTTGACTGTGATAACATGTTTTACCTGCTTTTAAGAGGCAAGAGAAGTCAGGTTTGTATGCACTGGCCCTGCCTTCTGAAATCGGGAAGTTCATCAGGGGACTGATGCTGTAGGAGAAAGTTGAGCAAATGTAGCCAATGGTTGGTGCTCACCATGACTTGTGTCGAAGTCTAAGGTGAAGAGACACCCAGCTCAGGATTCCCAAGAGCTGGCAGGTTGGTGACCTCTTCTTAGGGGGATGGTATCACATCTCACCATCCAACCATAAAGGGATATGTGCTAGTGATACACAAGTTCCTTTAATAGGTTCAGTCTGAGCCTGTTACTCACTTGGTCCTAAAAAGTTGAACTCCTTAGCATACCAGCAAGCAGAAATTTGTATCTACCAGATCCTGAAAGAGCTGAGATTGCATCTAAAAGAACAGCAGCAAAAAGCGGTGTGCCCCAGGAGCAGTGAGGCAAGGGAAAACTTGGGCTAAAGCTACACTAACTCCACTGACTATCTGTGGGACTAGGCAAGAACTCTAAACCTATTGACTGAGCTGGAGCTGTTAACAGTGGGTTGAGGTAGATACTGGTTATTATGGGGCTCTTAAATCTGTTTATCATCCCATCTCCCTTTCCCAATTCTATAAACCCTGTTATAGTTGATATTGCTTGTAAGTGGGGAAGTTTGCTGATACTGGAACACCCATAGACCAGGAACCGCTGAGCATGCCTTCCACCCCTCCTGACCAAACTGTCCCTTTTGGGTGTGTACAAGAAATCACATCAAACAGTTAGAGTTCAATTAGTTACTTTAAGCCATGTGAAATTCAACCAGCTGAAACTTGTACAATATTTTCAAAGGATTGTCTGCATGTTCTGCAGATCCCCTGCAATACAAGAAGCACCATGTAGCAGACCTGTGAGTCCACCCCAGTTCCTGATGCCCCCTTGGGTCAAATCTGCCTGCCACACTCCGTGACCCCACCTCACCTCCAGTGTCTCTCCTGCCACACCTTTGTTATTACTAACATACTGGGGAGGTGGCTCCGAGAGGCAAGGAGTAACTTTTGGCGTTATCCCTGGGCTTCTCTACCCAAACAGCCCCAGGGTCTTTGTGCTTCCCTAATGTGCTTCCCCTTTGGGGCAGTACCCCTCAGGCCTCAAAACACTTGGTTGGGTTTCAGCAGCCCCAGCCTTGCCCCCCTTTTTTCTGGGCAAGCTTTCAGCCCATTGACTCCCAGGCTTCACCCCTTCACATCCCTGCCCAGAGAAGGTCTCATCTTGAGGAGCACCCCTGGCACATG